ATCTGAAGTCGTTACATTGTACGTGTACGGGGAACATCCCCTCAGCATTTCAGCTTTCTAGCTTTTTAGGCTCTCCAGTCAGCAGCTTTGCCTACCAAAAATTTTCACGGGCCTATACATGGGAGTGTGCGTGTACATAGAGGATAATGGAGTAGAAACAGAGATGATAGTGTAACATGAGAAAATAATCAGTAGGGTCAGAGGGCCTAGGACCGATGGCCTGGCATAGCTATACATGGCGTTTAGGAGCACTGCAGTAACGTCATTAATTATGGATACTCGAGTTAATACCCGGGAGGTTTTGATATTTTTGGTAATGAGCAAAAAATAGAAGAGGCGAGGGACGGAAGAGGAAGGGGAGGGAAGAGAGGGGAGGGGAGAAAGGGAGGCAAATAAAAAGTACTGTGAAATTGGTAAGGAATTACTATGTTCACAGTGTTCCCGTTTCGGCTCCAAAGACATGCTTATTCGAACAGTATAGCTGTGGCATAGGGAAGTGAAAGGGCTGAAATTGTGCTGTCAAAAGCGCGATTTTATTTCAGTCTGTAAACATTTTTGTTGTAAATTTCGGTATTGAGAGATAGGCTGGTAAATTCAGTTACGAATGTTACGGGGATATTGCAAAAGTACTCAAAAAAAGCGCTCAGAAGTTGCAAAATTACTTCAAACTATTCTTTTTTTACGACTTTCTCAGGTATTATTTCAAACTGTCATGTATTATTTCAGACTGGAATTGAAGCCATTTTTGCTTGGAGAAACAGATGTTGCGCCCAAATGTATTGATCCAGAGAAAACGATATCACCAATCCCGTATGCCTTGGTCAAGGAAGTTGAAAAAGTGGACATTGAGACTGAAATACATGGTGAAATGTGAGTGCTATTTCATTATTTTTTTTTGTGTTGTAAACGCCACAAGTTTGACGTAAACTGCAGCACATACATGGGCCATCGCTCAAAAAATCGTCCGCGAGTCGAAGTTGAATGTATTTTCCAAATCCTTCTTTTCATTTTAGTCGTTGCTCCTGGTTTTTTTTTTTTCGTGGATATCCCGGGTGGGGAAAGAAAAATTCTTCGGTCGGGATCCGTAAGAGATTTTGATTTCCGACGAATTAAGAGAAACCTTAGGGATTATGGGCAATGAAATGCGACTAAAAAAGGCGAAATATTGTAATAGATTTTGTAAATTTTACGAAAAAATTCAAATTTTCCTCTCGCTGACTGCAAAAAAAAGCGTGGGAAAAGTTGTCGATGGGAACAGCTGTAGCACTTTTGTAAATGTTGTACTTTTTATGCGTTTTTTGCAGCAATGCAATGCAAAAAACGCATATTGACGAGAGGTTGTCTGTGTGTTTTTATGCGTTTTTTGCAGCAATGCAATGCGAAAAACGCATATTGACGAGAGGTTGTCTGTGTGTGTATGTGTCTGTGTGTGCGTATGCGTTTTTTGCAGCTATGCAATGCAGAAAACGCATATTGACGAGAGGTTGTCTGTGTGTGTGTCTGTGCGTCTGTCTGTTCGTCTGTACCGATTTTTTATCTCGAGACCGGCAAAAGCTACGGGGCTGAAACTTTGGGGGCATAATCTACATGCACGTACGACCCCCATCCCCAAAATTGGCGCCAAAACCCGCGTGGTAACCACGTACGGGCCCGCCAAAGTTTTTTC